TTGCTGACTATTCCATACTCGAAATTTGATTTTTTCGTTGATGAAAGAGTCAGTAAATATCATCAGTAGAATCTTCAATATATCCAGTTTGACCTGTGCAGAAAATTACAGATAGGGATATTTGAACCTGGTCCAACCGCTGGCTCGTTTCGGAGCAATGAATAAAAGATTGAGGATCTCAGTTTTCATTTTGAAAGTGACCTACAAACAGGAAAATGAAGTTGTACCACAGTTGTTTGTTGACTGCTGCCATGCTTCTATCAGTGTTGAACATGCCCATTCGACCGATGAACAAAAGGAGAAGATTCCTGATAACATCCTGAACGCTCAGAACCTACAAGAAGGTTTGTCGACTGCGGAAGAGAGATCGATACTGTCGAGCATTGATGATATGTTCAATTTTTTGAGGAATCCTTTGAAGAACGCGAAAAAGAAGTATGTTGCGGTAAAAGAAGCCATTGAGCGACAAGTAATTGTGAGAGAATCTTTACATGATGCACTTAGAGAGGCAAAAAGGGATAAAGAATGGGCAGAAGAAGCGAAAAAAAGACACAGTTTGGCCCTTGAAGACGAAAATCCGTCTCAACCTTTTCTTAAAACTCTGATTGACTTCAAGAATGTATTGACAGAAGTACGCAGCCATGACAAGAAAATAATAAAGCTGGAGAATGAAATCGCCCACCTTGACAACAGCAAAGAGTACAATGGAAAACGTCGTGATTTGTTTTTGGAATCGCTAGATCACGACGGCCTCAGTCCTGATGAGATTCAGCAAAAGCTGAATAAAATTGAAATCAGTCTCAATAAAATCAAATCGAAATACGAAGAGGAGAAGGATGTTATAAATGCTACATTTATACAAAAGATGAAAGAGCACGACAATTACTACAAAAATGCTCTGGTTCGAGTGAAAAAACTCCAAGAACTCCACACAATGTCTAAACGTCGTGTGAAACCTCTCGACGATTCCAATATGATTGCTTAGATTCATGTGTTATAAGGATCATTTCGTCTAACACCACTGACGTATTGACACCCAAAAAAACTACTCAAATAGACGACGTTAAAACCCATAATATAACACTAAAACACCACAAAACCTTATGTATTAAGTTGTAGTGTATTACAAGTGATATGGACCAGATTATCATATGATACCTTTTACTTTAAACTTTTTTTGAGCACATGACCGCTAATCAAACGTTTTAAGATCTTATTATTGAACAATATATTTATTGTTTAGTATGCTGCTGTCGCCAATGCTTGCACTAACTTATGAGTTACGGTGACTGTCTCAAGTGGTTTAGCATCGTGATGCTAAGCGGCAACTTGTGATTTCAATTCCCACTAAGGATGGTTAGTGCGTGTTTAACCTTTATGGGTAAGACTGCATATGTCTGCATATTTTAAGTGTGTACTTTTTTTAGGTTCGCGCAAAGGCTGAGTTAGAGTGTTTCACATACCTTAAGATGGGTTGGTGGCTTTAAACTTAGGTTTAGTATATTGTGTGGCCCGCAAGGCAGTTGCACGTGGGCCCACACAATTGCGTCAACATCAATACACTCACTTCTGCATTTGCACACACAAACACAGATCACTTCTACCTCTGCCTTACTATATCCTAAAGGCTATGAGCCCAAACAGTGAAGACTACGCTAAGCCTGCCCGTTTTGACGGCACCAACTACAGTCTATGGGTATCCACGATGCAGATGTACCTCTTGTCACGAGGACTTTGGGGTTTCGTCGATGGCAGCGTGCATGCCGTCGACAACGTTAAGCAGCAGCAAGCGC